GAAATTGCCATGCAGTACAAATCAGAGCTTCCTCTGATCCTAAGATCTGATTGTTAAACTTTTACTGTGGCACCTTGAATGTACCTAATTAATTGTCATTTTTGAGATCAAAGAATAGCTTTAGGTTTAATTGAAGTTAGAGAACAAATGTACAATAGTGATGAAAATCAGAGGCAGTAGAGCCAGATTGTCTTGAGTTCAAATACCGGTTCTGTACTGTACTTACTAGTTTAGTCAGTGTTATCTCTAATGGGAACAGCAGTAATGCCTGCCTTAGAGGGTTGATGTGAGGATTAAATATGTTAAGGGCTTAGTTTATAATCTTATCTGGTAACCTCAATTATCCAGAGAATAGACCAGGTTCAGGAAATAAACAAAAATATCACTGAGCAACCAATATAAATGTCAGAGAGCACTTGCACGAAAGCCCTTAAATTCTCTTTGGAAGCCTGTTTTACTCATTCTTTAGACCAAAGCTTGATTTTTTTTTTATGATCCAACAGTAGATTAGAAGCATAAAATTAACAATCAAGGAGAGCTGCTGCTATAAGTAACAAGAATCTTCTTCCCTCAAGGAAAATTGCCCAATCTGAGAATTTAAAAATGAGTCAGACTAGATGATCTCTAAGGTCCTTTCAGCTCCAAAAATGTCTGACTTCAGTGAAAAATCATAACAGGTTGCAGACAAATAAACTTAATACTATATTGACTAATGGCTTACAAAGATAATCCAGTGTCAGTAATAAATAAGAATCAGGATAAACTAGTTAAGAAAATAAGGCAATATTACTTCTTTAAATGTACATTCAAAATTGTTAATTATTATAGAGCTTCCTGGGATAAAAATATTTCTGAGTACTATAGAGCTAATAAACAGATTACTTATCCATAGACTTCACATCAGTTCCCTGGAGCAAGAATTCTACACACTAAAATGTAAGAGAATCATCTAACACATTTAGGGTCATTTTCTTTTGCTGTATTTTTTAGAGTGGAAGTTAGGGCCTAAATGTCCTTTTGAAACTGTGCTTCCCAACAAGAGGTTATAGTAGTGTTCTGCTGCATTTCTGCATCTAGGCAACTTAACTGCAATCATCAATTTTTAAGAAAGTGGCCCTCACAATCAATAAAACTACAGCAGTATATTTTGTGCTAATTTTCTTTGAAATGTATTTTAAGCATCTTTGTCAAAAGTTGTAACATTTTAATACAAATAAGATTTTGTGGTTGTAATATTTAGATGATAAATCATTCAAATTTGTTTTTTTCCTCATTGAGTTTTATTGGTACTTTTTAAGTATACAGTACAGTTACATTCATCATTGGGATCTTGTACCTTTACATGACAGGTCTTGGTTCTCATTTTTTCCCCTTGTCCCTGCCCTTCCCTCACCCCCTCCTCCCTTCTAAATCACTCAAATTGAAGTCAAAAATCACCAGGACACTGTTGATTAAGTCTATTTTGAAATCTATGTATTTTTACAAAGGAAATCACTTGTGTATGTTCAATCAGTACAAGATATATGTCTGTTTGCAGAAATAAAATTCTGCATTTGTGTATTTGTGCTCAAATGTAGTTTACGTTGATCAGTGGAATGATCTATACAAAACTGATACTTTGGGGCTAGATACATTATTTAAAATATGGATCTAGCCAAGTATATTTTACCAGATCAAAAATACTAGCTGTGTTATTTAAAACCTTATTGTGTAAAAATTTTTAAAACTAATTATTTGTGTAAAGCTGTTTGCTACTTAAAAATTTTACTTAAGTGCAACATCTTATTTCCTAATAATACCAGGTAAAGAAAGGCGATACTGTGTAGTTAAGAGACTCTGGCCTCAAAATGTTAATTTAGAGAAGGAGTAAAGCATACCTTTTTTCTTTTTCTTTCTTTCTTTCTTTTTTTTTTTTGTGGTACTGAGGAGAGAACTCAAAACCTTGCAATTTTGAAGCAGACGTGGTGCCACTGAACTAAGTCCCTGGCCCAATGCCATTTGAGATGCAAAGCAAACTGAAGTATTAGTACTTAAAAACTAAGTGATAACTGAATAAATAGAACTTTTATTTTCTCACTTGGAACTTGGAAAGACTATCTAGGGGCAACATTTGATTTGGAATTTGAGTTATAAATATGTAGACAAGCAGAAGAGGAAGGAGTGTTAGAGCAGACACAGGACATTTTAAGAACTGAGGGAGCAGAAGTAACAAAGAGTTATGAAAAGTGAATGGCAGTAGGCTTCCCATGTGACTGAATAAATATGACTCTTCATGAAGTTGGGGTGTAGTGGACATATGTAAAACTGGAAAAGTTAGTTGAGACAAGATCACGTAAGGCTTTGCAAGGAGTCAGAGAGTCAGACTTTTAATGAGTAATAAAGAATCACTAAAAACTTTGAGCAAGGAAGAGGCATGATCCAACCAAGTGATGACAAGAGTCAAACAAGGAAAGTAAACTTGGGTGAAACTTAAAGAGGAGAAGAAGATACTAGATGTAGGGCAACCAGTGAGATTACTGAGCTAGTATAGACAAGGAAATTATGAAGGCCTATACTAAGACAGCAAGGACAGAAAGATCTCATGGGAGACACCAAGGAAACAAGTAGGATCTATGTATCTAGGTGTGCAGTGAAGAGATTCAAACACGATTCTGTGGTTACTGAAATGGATGACCAGAAAGCTTTGTGATACCATTAACTGCGATTGGAATCACTGGAGAAGGAGCCGTTTTTAGATAGCTGCAAGGGTATGGGGAGGAGGAGGTATATCCTAATGCTTAGAGATGTCTTTGATGAGCTAATTAAATAGAATTTTTAATGTTGGGAGATATGTAGTGTGTATGCATGGGGATTGTGGGGACTGAAACACAGCACTGTTGTTGATATGTAGACAATATACATTTCTTGACTATCTTTTTTAAAATCTCCATCTGTGCACAGTGTGCCAGATCATTCATGTTGGCCACCCACTTCGTATCTTCTAAAAGAATAATAACTTATTTCTATTAGCTAAAACTCCTATTAGAAGTCTACATCTGTGATTTAAAGAGAAATCTTTATAATTAAATTATAATCCAAAGCCTGATTTTTTATAATTATTTATATTTTCAAAGATTACACAGGTTAAGCCGGGCGTGGTGGCACATGCCTGTAATCCCAGCACTCGGGAGGCTGAGGCAGGAGGATCTCTGTGAGTTCAAGCCCAAACTGGGCTACATAGTGAGTTCCAGTTCAGTCTCAACTACATAGTGAGACCCTGTCTCAAAAAACTAAAAACAACAACAACAACAAAGATTAAGCAGGTTATAATATTAGAAATAAGCACCACTATTAGAAATTTAAAGCCCACAGATAAATAGTAAAAGAGCCACTCTCTTGCAAAATTACCAATTCTCCAAAAGATTCTATGAAGAATTTCATACTGGAGGAAGATATACCAGAAAGTATCTATCTATAGTTCGATTCCTTCACTTCCTATTGCTTTGAGATTTTCCCCCACTTAAATGAAAACAGAGTGAGTCATTAACTTCTGTCAGATGAAGTGATTGAACATTAGGGTAGGTAAAAGAGTTGAAGTGGCTATTGTAATAAAAATAGTATTTTCTGGAATGTTAAGTATCTGAAATGATACACTTGTAATATGTTTTAATTAATAACTTCAGATAAGGAGAACAAAACTAATATACTGTGAGGCATTTCTCTTTGGCCTGATCTTTTGAAGACTAGTCCTAAGAACTGTAAATTTAAGGAAGTATTTGGATAACAGTTCTACAATGTACATTTCCATTTAAGATTTGTATTCTTAATTTGATCATTAAAAATGTGAATACTGGGCCAGAGATTTAGCTCAGTGGGTCTGCCACCTGCCTTGCAAGTGCAAGGTCCCAAGTTCGATCCCCAGTACCAAAAAAAAAAGTGAATAGTATTTTAACATTGTACCTTTGTGTTTAAATTTTAGTCTAAAGGTCTTTTTACAGTTTTGTTTGTGCATGGTTGTTTATTTCAAATTGGAGTTTGATCATTAACCTAGAATAACCTTAACCTAATAGCAGTGCGAGGTTTTTCTGGTTGGCAATACCTTAACATTCAAAGAACTCTATTCTGTTGCTTGAGATTTTGATCTCAGATCACATAAACTAGAAAGAATATAAATCTTGATAAATATCAGAATTGCATTCTCAGAAGATTGGAAAAGATATTATTTTTTTCCTCCCACCAAATATATATCCATATTTGAGAGTAGAAAGGGAGCTATTAATTTTTTTTTTTGTACCAGGAATCAAACTCAGGACCTTGTGCTTGCGTGACAGTCACAGTGCCACTGAGCTAAGTCCTTGGCCCTGCAAGGGGGGGGGGCTGTTAATTTAAGAGTTGTTCTTTTTTAATTTATTAATTTTATTGAGTTTATTGGTACATTTTAGGGATACAGTACAGTTACATTCTTAATTAGTAGGTTTCTATCAGTTCTTTCTTGACAACCTGTCACGTCCCAAATAATATCATAGAGTATCTTGGACAAATTTTACATTGCTTTTGAGGATATAGAAAGGTAACACATCATGGATATATATATAGGCTGTCTATTTGGGCTTATAAACAATATTTTTCTCAGATTCCTGTCCTCATATATAAATCCTATACATGTTCAGAGTACATATGATAATCTTTCATTTTATAAATCAGAAAATATAGAGCGAAATTTTTTTATATTTCCCAAATCTCAGATTTCCTAAGATGTAAATCCTATCTTCTACTAGCCAGTGGACTATTTGTTATTAAGCCAGTCTTCATTTAAGATGCAGATTGGACCACAAAGGCAATTAATCTCTTAAATTATAGGTAATTAATCTGAGGAGGGGAGAGGTATCTGTTGCATACAATGACTTCTTTATAACCTGTAAACTCCTTAGGATTAATGCTAGGTCTCGTTTTAAATCATTTTGGCAATTAGATTTTTATGTTAAAAATACCACACTAAAACAATTCATTTTCTTTTACAGGTGCAGGAGACATTGTTGCAATCATGATTGGCAATCTGAAAGGAACAAAAATTCTACAGTCTATTCAAAGAGGCATACAAGTGACAATGGTCATCGAAGTAGGAAAAAAACATGGCCCTTGGGTGAATCACTATTCAATTTTCTTTGTTTCTGTATCCTTTTTTATTATTACAGCAGCAACTGTGGGATATTTTATCTTTTATTCTGCTCGAAGATTACGGAATGCAAGGGCTCAAAGCCGGAAGCAGGTTAGTAATACTCCTTTCTTTAAATTTAAAATATTTTTATTGTTTTAATTATAGTTTCAGTCACATATTTTAATATACTTCAGTTGCTAAACAATAATCCATGCATGTGGTTGGTGAAATCTACTAGTTTTATATTTTTTTCTTTTTATTGAGTTTATTGGTACAATCTAGGTATACAGTACAGTTACATTCATTATTGGGATCTTGTACCTTTACAGGACAGGTCTTGGTTCTCATTATTTCCCCTTGTCCCTGCCCTCCCTTCACCCCCTCCCCACCTCCCCATTTATAAACTCTTTATTTCCATTTTTTCATTTTCTCATATTTTTTTCCTCTCCCTTATTAACTTTCCCCCACCCTTCCCACTTTCCCTACACCTTTAGCCCTTTTCTATTTCACATTATTAATTACCTCATTAGGATCTTGTGTACTATTACAGTTTTTCACACCAGAGAAACTATTCGGCATTTACACATGTGTGGCTTATTTATTTCACTTAAGAGTATATCCTCAATATGTATCCATTTTCCTATGAATGAATCTAATTTCTCATTCTTTATGGCTGAGTAGTATTCCATTTTATAGAAAAACCGCATCTTCTTTGTCCAGTTTCCAACTGATGGGCAAATGGGCTGTTTCCAAGTTTTAGCTATAACAAACTGTGCCGCTATAAACATTGGTGCACATATATCACTGTGGTATGATTCTTTTAATTCTTTTGGAAAGATACCCGTCAGAGGGATGGCAGGGTCAAATGGAACCTCTAGTCCCAGCTCTTTGAGGTATCTCTATATGTCCTTTCTTTTCTAACTCTGCCTTATTTGTACAAAATAAAAAACAACAATAAACTGGAAATTTTCAGACAAACTAATCTAAAAACAGTAAGTAGAATGAATAATTTATAACTCTAGGATTCAGCAAAATATGACTTTGTAATTTGTGACTTTATGCTTAATTATAATGATCAGTTAAAGAAATCTCTGTATGAAAATTAAAAATAGGGAATCCTAAAATGATAAAACTAAAAAGTAAAAGAGAAAAGGCAATGATGTAAAATTAAAATAATCCTTAATTCTGAAGTTGAAAATGGTCCCTGAGCATATTTAAATTGCTTCTTGCTCTTGTAGTCATATATTATTCTTTTTTTCATTATTTAGACAATACTTTATTAGTTTCTGTAATCAAACCCACGTAGGTATGACCTTACATATTTAATACAGTGCGTTACCCCTGTATAAATGGGAAAAAATTAACATTTCTAGACCAATATGGCTGTTAATTTCTGTGCAATGCCAACTCAGCACAGTAAACTGGGATGACTTTTTCCAAAGTTGACAGCACAGTTAAAGTTTCCAAAAATTCAAATTATATATATGTGTGTGTGTGTGTGTGTGTGTGTATTTATATTTATATAAAAAGACCAATAATAGCAGTATGTTATGCATCAATAGCAGCAACAGCTTTTCCAGGTTCTGCAGTCATCTGAACAAAATTAGACATTCCGCACACTCCATTTAAAAAAACAAAAACAAAGAAAGGAATAATACCCAGAAAACAGCAAAATTCTGTTATTGTTGTGGTACCTGGCACCATTTTTTTATTAGCATCTTAATCATCCTCTGGAAAGAGAACATTCTAGAGTAATATCATTAAATGTAGCTCTGATAAAGCACAGTCACTACTACGCATCATAAAGCAGGTACAAGATATTTTACATTCACAGAGGTAAATTCACAGAGATGATACAGTACTGTCCTACATCTATAATACTAGAATCAGTTTTGGTTTGAAATTTACTTTGTCTGAGAATAAGGTTGCTACCCCTGCTTTTATCTGGGCTCCTGTGCTTTGAGTTCAGGGTGTCCTGGTGGTTCACTATCGGCCTCTTCATCCTCATTTTCCCTACTGTTTGCCATTGGTGAACTGGAAGTCTGTCTTTGTGTCTTGCTTAAGTGTTTTCTCATTTTTATTTTTGTTGTTGGGCTGACCTTGGTTTAATCTCTGGGTTATCACCCAAATCTTCCTGATATAGTTGCACCCTAGCTTCTGGGTCTCTAATGACCCACAGACATTCTCACCTTCATAATTCAGAGAAAACAATTCATCAAATCAACCATAATCCTTTATCCCAACTGATACATCAGCAATACAATATGATCAAGCACAACTTGAAAACTGACCACTTGTGGTAGTCACTAGTCTATCACCCTTAAACCATGTGAATTAAATTGAAATCAAGAAGCAGTCCAAAACATGTCTGCAGTGAACAAAGTTTTCAACGTAGTATATTTACCATTTAGCATGGGGGCTCAGACAGAGCTAGGACAAGAGGAGTAGATAAGTAAAAGAATCGGAGATGGTTTCAAGTGAAGCCGGAGGACATAGAATGACCACACAATATTCAGGAATCAGTTGAATTCAGAAGGAATAGACAGAGTAGAAGTACAAGGACAAGAATATATCCTCTTAACAGCAATAGGGGCTCACTTTCCCTTGAAACTACTGACCCCTGTGTGAGGCAGAATGACAGAAGAAAAGAACATAAAGAGAAAAAATGATAAAAGAAGAAATCTGAGTTAGGGCAGGAGCAGAAACAGGAAGGGAGATGAGGAATAATATGGTGGAGCAAGAGAATGAGTTGGGGAAAGAGGACAGAAAAAAGAAAGAATTTGCAGAGTGGAATGAGGAAAAGAAAGAAAAAAATGACTTTGAAGGGCCTCTTTCAGACTATATCTCTGCTGTCATAATATACAACATGCACAGCCATGTGCAGAACCAAGACCCCTGATCTCACATAGCTGATGGCAGACCCCCACGACGCAGACTGACCTCGGGCTGCAAGGCCCAGATTGAGTTCCCTGTCCTCCTGAACGGTTGATCTCCACACCGTTCTACTAGAGGTATCCCACGCCCTTTCTTTAAAGATGTTCAAAGTTGGGAACTCAGAAAAATACCCTTTATGGCCACCTCTGCCTCTGCAGAGTGGGTCCAAAGACTCGCACAATCAGGAGGTCTGAGAGTGTGCACGGAGCGGGGGGAGTTGGGGGAGTTGTGGGGGTTCAGGGGCGCCCGCGTGGCTACCTTCGTAGCGCTGGAGCTATGGTGGCTCCCTGCGGGAGAGGGCGGGGCTGAAATCAAATAGTTTTTTTAAAGTATGCCAGCTTCTATCTTCTCAAATCATTTACGTTCTATAATTTGTCCTGCCTGATCAAGTCTTTCACACCTCAGTAGGGAGCACAGCCAGCATTTAATTATAACCTATGTAAATACATATATAGGTTCTATTAAATAAATATTTTCTAAATTATAAAAACATTTCATACGCAATAAAGAAACTAAAAAGTATAGAGGAAAAAAATTTCATAAAACCAAATATTACAAAATAACTGTAGTCACTGCCCAAAGGTAAGCAGTCTTATTTTATATATACATTTGCATGTGCTGGTAGAGCAGCAAAAGAGATTAGACTGAATTTCAGGAGAAGACAGGTTTAAAGATCTGATTGTGCATGATACAGTGTTAGGGTCCAAACCAAGTCATGTATTCCTGTTATTTACCATATTGTATTACTGACTTATAAAAAGATACAAAGTATAGAAATAAGAAATTAAACGTACCAAGGAATTATCCAATAGAAAAGTTCCTATGAGTCTATATCATTGATCTTTCCATGTATAAATTGTCCCTCACCTCCCTCATATCCTTTTTTTTTTATTTACCTAGCCACTCCCATGCATACATCTTCCGTTCCCTCTACTCCTCTTTGTGTTGCATAGCCAACCCTTTAGCATCCATGGATAATTGGTTCCATAACCTCCCCGTGGATACCAAATCTTCAGATTTATATAAAATGTGTAGTATTTGCTTAGAACCTATGCATGTCTTTCCACATACTTTAAATCATCTCTAGATTACTTTTAATATCTAATTTTAATGTAAATGCTATGTAAATAGCTGTTGTGTAGGGAATAGTGGCACAGCAAAAGTCTACTCATTCAGTAGAGGTGCAATTTTTGTTTTGTTTTGTTTTGTTTTGTTTTGTTGATACCAGGGGTCAAACTCAGGACCTTGCTCTTGTGAGGAAGGCCCAGTGCCACTGAGCTAAATCATCAGCCTGAGATACAACTTTTATTCTGAATAATTTCAATCAGGATTTTTGAATCTGAGCATGGAGAATGCACAAATATGAAAAGTTAGTTGTACTTGCCGGCAAAATCTAACTCTGGTTAAATTCAACTTTCTACCTACTCTATGTCTGTACTTGGCATAGCTGAATAGCAGAAAAGCATTTACAGTTTCACTGACTTCACTTTAAATTTATTACCACAAACTCAGAGTGGACCCTTACTGGTGCCCAGTAGTCATATTATATTTTCTCAGCCATTTATTCTCCTACTTTCCTAGGTGACAAATCATACATGTTCCTTTCTCCTTACACCTCCACATCTCCTCCAACTTTAAGCTCAACTTGTGTCTGAGTCCACTGACAAAATTGGAGTAACAAAAAGCATAATTTCTTATAAGTAATTGTTAGAAATTTCCTTCTGAATAAAATTTATGCTTGTTAATGAAACTTAGAAAAACACAAAGAAGTTTAAAGAAAATAAAGTGTTCATAATTTCAAAACTAAAACTAAAAAATCGTGTGCCCACATCTGCCCATCCATTTGCATCGTCTTGTCTTCTCTTACTGTGGATGAATTGTTCCTTTGGAAAGGTCAGCCCTTTCCCTCATGTACAATATTCTTTTTGTCTTTTGCATACTCAGGGACATCACGCCAGTAATTGTCTCTTTCTCCCCTGCTTGTTACAATGTCGTTTTCTCCTCTGGATCTCAAAAAACATACTATTATTGCTCCCATTTTCAAAAGAATTTCTCTTGATTCCAGGCCAGAAATCTTGAAATTATTCTTCACTTCTCTTTGTTTTCCAACTTCCCATAAAATGTCTATTAGAAACTCCTGTTTGTTCTACCTTGATTACTTACCAAAAATCTGATTG